CACGGTCGACTGCGGATTGCAAACGATAGTTGTGACAGAAGTAGAAATCTGGGCGGAAAAAGGGTATTTTGCCCCAAATCTATTTTGATCCTAATAATATTTTTAATAGTGCTATTCGGTTGTATACCTCAAGCTTTCTAAGTGTTTAAAATATATGCACTTATTTTAAAATCAGCCTGTATATAACAATCCTATTCGTTTCTCCAAAAAACGGCTGATGTTGGGGTAGTTGAATTCCCGTATATTATGGATTTTGCATGGGAGTGTACAATCTAATAAGTGAACAATTTATTGGCCATAGTCTGCTGAGTTTTGTCATTTTGTTCGTCAATAGCGGACACGTGAAACCTGCGTTCGACGTGTTTGCAAGGTCTTGTTATTTCAATAGCCTGCATCTATACACCTTCGCACTTTCACCACAAGATGGCTCGGAAGACGAGATGGATCTTCTGCCTGGTTCAAGCATTGCTTTGTTGGTTATGTACGATTATACTCCGTGATTTGATTTTCAGCAGGCTTAGTGACACTGATGAGACTTGGTTAGCCAAAACAGTCTGTCTTGCATCAATTGAAGATGGATTCACACGAACTCTCAGAAAATTCTTAGTCTAGAGATTCTAGGTTCCTTCTTATATTTTTCCCAAACCAGCAGTTCACGAGGTGAGGAAGCAACCCCGGCAGTGAAGTAACTTGTGGGCAGGAAAATAAACCAGTAACTGGAAATGATTCCGTGTCAAAGCACAATCGTAAATATGGAATGTTGATAATGAAAAATCATTGAACGTTATTTCACATAACATATATGTCACGCATGGGTAGAGCAGTTTACTAATTCCCTTGATTGATCGTTGATAATGACCGACCTATCCACTAACTGATATTCAAATAATGAATATCATTTGGATGATGGAATAATAAGAACGCATTATTTATGATTGTTGTAGTGTATGGATCACGTTTTATCGATTACTCAGGTAGCAGGATGCTGTGAGGATACATTATATCAACATTGGTTGTTCGTCATTTTTGGCCTCTGACATTGTTGACCTTCGGAATATTGTTTCCGGAATACTCTCGATTTGAGTTCCGTGTTTCCATCCTCTCATACTCTAGATGCCAATACACCCATTCTGCCAATGGCAGATGCTTTGGAGACGACTATTCTCATGATTGGATTCTTTTCGGCCAAGTTACGCCTACCTGGCGATCTCAAGACTGCTAGATCAGGACTACCGTACACTGATGTAATCCAAAAGCTATAAATTGGTCAATAGGTATCATTGCATTAACCGGGCTAAATCAAAATCGATCGGCATTGAGGAAAAATAAACTTGTATATCAGTATTCGTTCAGAGTTTTTCGTGACATTAACCAGGAGAGTAGTTGATTCCCTTACGTCATTTTTCTATCTCTCTCATATCATGATCAGTTGTAGAAAACTACGAGGTTTTCTATTTATTCAACATTTCATTCCACTTCGAGCATTTCGGCTATTTCATGAATGAATTCATGCTAGTCTAGCAAATAGCAGCATCCTTTGCTTATCGAGATGGGTATTCTAGTTTGGTGGAATGTTTCTTTCCTCTCACTCTGGATGGCGTTTCACCCATGTCGCCCAAGGAAGACACCTGGAAGGCTACTAATATACTGATTGAAATTCGTTGGGATACGTTACAACGCATTGACGACTGTCCCAGAAATACTAGATGGAGACTCATGAGAGTAAGAATCTCGGAACCGGTGTGTTGGTATCGTTGCGTTATCCTGGCTCAATCGGAATCAATCAGCATCAAGGTAAAGAACACTCGCATCAGTATTCGTTTAAATGGATCGATGCATAGACTTTTACTCTCTTCATCTATTATTTTACTTTATTCCATCAATACTTGAGGAACTGACTCCGCGTTTTTGTATTCATTCGAACCGGTTATATGTCTCTACAAACAGACAGAGGGGGTACAGGTGAGCCCTACCAGGTGAGTTCTTAATGAGTGAAGTCATAGACTAGGTCGAAGATAACTTCAATAATATGTCATAATATCAGGTAGAAATATTAATAATGTTCAACGTGGAGGGATAACTCCAAAAATTGGTCTAACAAAAAACCGATGAGAAATACTTGGTATTGGTATTGGAAGGTTGGATGGTGACAGATGAGCTGCGACCTAATCAGATCTATTGTGCCCTATCTGCTTCTGCTATATCAAGGATCTCTTGTTCATAGCAGCCCCTCGAGATTCAATCCCTTCAGGAATTTGAGGATTTCGAGGGGGTCTAGTTGTGGTATTTCTTCCACAGTCAGCTGATGTTTTTTCAGTATGTTCAATCTTTTGCGATGTAAAGCGTCACACTCCATCAGTATCCCTAACAACACCAGTACATCCTAGGGACTTTCCATCGACGTCACTGATTTCATACTAGGACATCCCAGGGATGTCCTTTGTCGGGACAACGTACATACTATGGATGTCCCAGGGACATCCGCTGGCCGCTAAAAAAGGCATCCAAGGGATGTCCTTCTGGTACGTCCCTGGGATGTACCAATTACGATGAATGAATATCCGTAGGACGTCCCAAGGATATCCCAGGAACATCCATTCGAGAAAACAAAAAAAGTGCAGGTCGAGTAGGGATTGAACCCGGGACCTTTGGCTTATCATGCACGCACCTTGCTCCATTGGCCATCATGCCTCCTGAAGATTCATGTACTGAGCAGATTTATAAACAGGACTCAACTACAGAAACCTGAATGAATACAACTTTATTAGGAATTGGGTATGATTATCATCATTCTTAGGTGTTAAAAAATGAGGGGCATTATGCATGTACGATTTCTGTCTGCTAAAAATGGTAATTTCTTAAGAAGTTCTGAGACTCAATTCTGCATTTTTATCACAATCATTTTCCGGAAGAGAAACAAACATTTTCAGAAAAATTCAACCCGATAGTTTGATGAAATTCAATGACTCTGATGTGAATGGATATCAGATACTCCAGAGACACGAATAGGATAACCTAGGGATGTACCGGGCGGGATGTCCACTGGACAACCACTGCAGGACATTCCCTGGATGTCCCAATCATGTCCTTGTACCGCGGGACAAAAAAATGACGTACATAGAACTTTCCTGTGTTGTTAGGGATGTGATGGGGTGTTTCTGGTTCTTCCTCTCATAATCTGCAGGTGCCGTCCTCCTGTAAGCTTAGCTTTCTTAGGTGTTTTTCGAGTCTGCAATACCCCATTAGGAATCCCGTTATTGCTTTATGACTTCCCTTGCTAAGTTTTGTCAGTGTCTTAGATCTTTCTCGGTTGAAATTTTCGAGGAGATCTTTTGCCTGCCGTAGTCCTGAGAAATACTTGAATGAGACGTGGCAAAGTGACTCGTTACGTCGGTATCGTTGAATTTTGAAACTGATGAAAAAACGTCGAATATTCATATATATTATGTTCATGAGATTAACTCCTATTACCAGGCTGTTTCTACCAATTCGGAATTTTTCGTTACCAAACAATACCTTAACGTTCATTCAACGTTCCTTGTTCATCATCATATATTCTTGATCGTTAGTTAATGAGAAACTTCGTGTACTGATTGGACACAACATGTTTATCTATGATATTTTTTCATAACATTGATTGTTTTTGCTGGATAGTAATAATTGTAGGTTTCAGTGCTAGTGGTCTATCATCAACATCAGAGATTATATTATATGATCACAGGACTGAGTCTATGCCACTAAGCATGGGTTGAGTCAGAAAGTTGATTGGAAACATCAGGTTGAGCAATCATGGACTTTCATCATTCGTGAGTTTGAAATTGGTATTTCATGTACCAATAACGAACCAGTGTCTATAATAGTCAAGACCGCAAATTTGTACCCGAGGCTTCAGTCGAGGTTACCAATCAGGCAAGATAATGAACAGCTTTTCGCCAAGATGCATATAACATCTTTTCAAAGACCTAAAATACTTATATTTACATCACGGTCCCATTCACTTCTGAAACCTTACGAGTTTCGTGAAAAATTGATACGACAACAGCAAATGACAGTTGTTGTCAACTCACTCTCCGCGCGAACCAATGATGCCAGTTCAATATTCATTCCATCAGTACATAACTTGTCGACAATTCAGTAGATTCCAATCGATCCATTCAAGATCTTTTCAATGCTTTACGAATTTCAAGAAAGGATGATGTAATGATTCCATTAGTGAAAAGAAGAGCAACCTATTTCCAACATAATTGATACAAAAAAGAACAAATTTTCGTATACAAAAATAATCAAATACCTTCCAATTCAAGAATACTCATATAGAATATCACATCACATACAGTTACACAGGTACTCATAAGATTTGAGTACATAAAAAACAAAACCGAAAAGAGAAAATAAACAACAAAAATACAAAACAAATATAGAAAGTGAACGTTAGAAAGGAACTATCAGAACAGAGGTATATGAAATATCGAATGTGATCTGAATTAGATGAAGCATTGCTATTTTTGATTCATACATATCATTAGTAACTATATGTGAATACATTACTCATTTTGTAGAACTGAATTGAACGGAGCGTGCCAAAATCTCATGAAATTCATAAGTGTATGTAATTAACTTATAATCAATAATATAGGTGATATTAATGAGAAGTGTCGAAATATCTTTCAGTAAATTATGAAATGTTTCAGTAGATCAGTAGATCTACTGAAAAAGCAGTAGTTCTGGCAACACTGCAGCGAACGAGAAGTTTTGGCGGACAAAAAGTTGTTGAATGCCAACGAAAAGTACTCGCCTTCAGAAACTCGTTTTTCGTTCGGAAATTAGAACGTAAACTGTGATTTCTGTAGGTGTCGATGAAAAAATAGTCCATAGTCACTCGTGATAATTATTATAAGTGGACATTTCTCACAGTGTATTCCTGGTATAACAAAAGACGACCAAGCAAAAGAAAGAAAGGCAAAAGAATGAGAGAATTCGAGAAGGCACTCTGTGTTTACCTCAAAAGAAACTTCTTTTCCATCATGTAGCCACCGAACGCTGGGTTTTGTGGCGAAGAAAAGTCCGTGAACTCCAGATTGCTGCGATAGAGGCGATATTTCACACGTGAAGGTCACGAGGGACCCATTCTGGACGTAAACTCTGCTCGGGCCCTTTATAAGAGCTTGACTGACCCATTTCGAATTAGAAAGGTCCGATTTGTGGTCACCTGTAAATGAAAAGGGATCGTGAATAGAATAATTTCCTATCAATCGTAAAAATCATCCATAGCCAAAGTGATCTTTATTCACGATTGAACTTAGATACTTGCAGTCGGTCGACCACATTTGAAGAAAAAAACAATTGAAAATTGAACAGTATCCGGTTTTGGCTCGATGGCCATCATCAGACTATAGTACCATAAGTACAGAATGAATGTAGAGATTGTGAAATATGATTGTCACAGAAAAAACAAATCTTACTGGGATCAAGTGTAATGATTCAAAAGTTGGAATGTCATTGGGTCGGTCATCAGGGCGAGTTGGTAGAACTATTCAGCCCTGATGACGTTGAACATTGAAAATCCAAGTTCTTTACAAATTCAGATCGTCACATGTTGACTAGACAAAATTGATTCAGAGAATGAAATCATCCTTGTCATCTCCTGCACAAATCCTTTCTTGATTTCTTTTTTCAATCTAGGTTGTCATTAATGCGTCCTTCTGATGATGTTCGTGCCTTCAATATCAGCATCTTATGTCAATTTTCTGATAATATCAATCTCTGAATCGATTTTGTTCAGTTAACATGTAACAATTTGTACTTGTGAAAAACCTATTTTCTCAATGTTCAACTACATCAGTATCAGGGTGAAATTTTTCTGACTCTGCTGTCGTTATTAACATATTTACACTCGACTCGCTTCGATGGTCAACCCAATGACATTCCAACTTTTGTAATATTTGATGTGACTTCCGTGAAGTCAGTTTCTCCCAGGACAATCATTTCCTACGATCTGGTCATTCATATTGTTGTATTTTGTGTACAACAGTCTGAAGGTGGCCGTATTTCCGAAACCGGTTACCGCAAAATTCATATTTTTTCCACATATAATGTGGTCGACCGACTCCTGTATTCTATTTTTAATAGTAATTTCCTATCCATTGTGATATTCTCTCATTCTGAAATTTTTTACTGAATTGTTCCAAGTGAATTTGAACATAATAAAACGAAATTCTTGTATTTCATGTTTGGAACATAAGAAGAGAACAGGTCAGTTCTACTACTGTCTCAAAGCGGTGAAGGTTATGGTTTTCTCAATTTAGTTAACATGAATTGCAACTTTTCATTCAGAAATATTCATGGTGTTTCTGTAACATAACTTGATGATTTGTTGGGTAATTCCTTCCTGAAGTTTTCGTTAATATTTGACGAAAAATGGTTGGTCATTTGACGGTACAATAAATCCAGTAGTCTATTGTGTCATCGTTCCTTATGTTTTTTGATTTGCTGAATCCAGATCTGGAAATATACATCAAAATATTCCAGTGCGGTTTGAGATATTCGCAAAAAACAGTGGAGAAGTTTTTGGTTATTCGCCTATAATTCCAAGAAGTACGTACATCTTCCAAAGAATTCGAGGATGAACGGACCACTGTTAATCGAATGTTTCCCAAGATACACCACTTCGAATATAGGTGAATTCTGTCCACGCATTTATATTTCAAGTTTTGAGTCAACTTTTGAGCTGAATATTGAAAAAAAAAACGCTGATTCAACGCAAGAAATGTTCGAGAGTGAAATTGTAGTGAATCTCTTCAGCTTCAATTATCATACAAAACGAGGCGAGTAGATGAAATGGTTGACTCATAATGTGAAGAAACCAGAAAACTTGAGAATGATATATTGGATAGATCTCATGTGATCATCTGTTCATGACTTCCAACCATATTGCTTTTTTCATGAATTCACTATACTAGTGTTTCATATTGAGTAGGATCATAATTTTATCTAGACAATATTACTTATAATTCAGATATGTAGAGAAGAACCGTTCAGGTCACCTTTCCAGCTCAATCTCAACCATTCCCACTGTCTGTACAGGAGTATGAACTTCTTCGAGAAGAGCTACAGGAGAGGTAACAAACATATGCAATGACTGAAAGATCGTGTCGAAAGCACCACCAAGATTACAAGCGACTGCTACTCCGTCAGCCCCAGAAAACCACGGATCGAATTGGACTTGACAGTTCAACCCTGCGGAAACAGAATCAAGGATGAGGGGTCAACAACTAGGTCAACCCTTTCCCACAGCTTCAAGCTGGTAGTGTTGCCGTCTAGACTTATACATTCTAGACTCTTGTCTTGTCTTGTCTAGAATATCAAGACAAGATCATCAATATGTCTTGTCTAGATTATCTAGACAAGACAAGACTGTTCATTTTCCATACAAGACTTTTATTCAAAATTCTTGATTATCTTCAAATCTATATTGAAAATACGTCGTTTCGCTGGCGCGACTATGATTTGTTTTGATTGGTTCCCAGAGAGCGGGAGTTTGCATGCACTTGACTGTTTCTACGCAATTTAAGCTAAGTGTCTTATCTAGAGTCTTGAATAATAATCTAGACTTTCGTTATCTAGACAAGACCGCACTAAGCTTATTTAATCAAAACTTACACGTATACAACTCTTGTCTTGAAATTTCAAGACAAGACAAGAGTAGGTGTCTTGTCTTGTCTAGATGGCAACAGTACAAGCTGGAGATGTTTGCGAATGGAATACTTCGAGAGTCAGTATCGATATACTCTTGACAAATTATGCTCTACATGAAAAAAAGGAAATTTGTTGTCACGTGACTGTTCATGCCCTAGGACGAAAAACTAGAAAGGCATTGCCCTGCTCCAAGTCCCAAGTGGTGTCATTTTACGAATGTGTCGAAAACGATCCGAACCGTCCGACATGATTGAATCTGTCAATTCATTTCTATGCATACACTCAGTGACCTTTTCGATCTAGCACTGCTAGATACTGAAGCATCCACTATGTGAAAAGAAGAACAAGTGGCTGCAGATGTTTCAAAACAAGCATCAGTTTCGTCTATGGACAGAATGGCTAACGGCCTTCCAGCTCGAGTTCCCAACAAGTATCACTTGAAATTTGCATTGGATTCATATTAGAAAATTCAACTTCAAAAAAGCTATCTTTGAATCAACTCTGTATGAACCGTGTAACTAGCGCCATATATTAGACTGAGAATTGGAAAAAAAACCTCATGCGATGTATCAGCTACCAAAATACATCTATACTGAATCTCATCACAATGTTGCCAGTAGTTTCGACAAAATCGTGGACAATGTGTGAGAAAATCTTTTCCCTACACCTTGTATCTTGAAAACGGATGTGGTTACGACATTTCATCACTGAGCAAACTCTACTCATTCCACAGTGTTCTATCCCCAGTAGCACATTTTCTTCGAGGTATTGGCCCATATGCCCATATATGCCTATATTGGTCCAATATCGCCGATATTGAGCCCATATAGAGACAATATCCAATCAAGATTCGTGCAACTGCAAAGGATTCACCCTAGCAGGGCCTAGTAGAGCAGTCACCTAATTTCGAAACATTCTGTATACCGATGACGCTCGAGAGCCCTGTTGTAATTTCTCAATTGATGGAAACGAAATTCATTCGATCATCAGAAATACGAAATGATCTAATCAAGCTTTGATTAACTTCCATCGATATAATTTCCTTTTATTCCCATATTCCTCAGAGATGACGAATATCTGGCGCATTCGTTCTTTCAGTTAACGGTGGTTTTTTCGTCGCCAATTATTTGTTACTAACGATATTGGCAAGAAGAGAGGAGCCCATTTTTTTCAACGAAATATCATGCAATGATGAGTTGTATTTCCCTTTCTTCTCCAAAATTCCTATACGAATTCCATCCCCGCAATTCGTCTTCGTTATATGAACACCTCTTGAGCTTCATAACATGCATTATTTTTGAAGCTCTTCCGAAATAACAGAACGTTACGGATATCACTGTAGATTCCAAAAATTATACGGAATGCTCATCCTCAGTAACTATTGCATTACATTATCAGATATCCTTATCAGGATATTTCCCCACAAAAATAATATTTTGTCGTTTGATCTCGCATTTTTCAACAATCATTCAATGGACTGAAACACTTGGCCTTCAATTCGCAATTTCTCTAACAGGGGCATTATTATTAGTTGGTTATATGAGGAAACAGTTCATCCTGAAAATAGTTCGATATCAATATCTCAATCAGCCCAAGCTTGAATTCAGATTCCGGAAGTTTGATATATTCAAATATTTCATTTGAAAATCTTGACTGGCATCTATTTTCCCATGTAAAGATTTTATGCATTTTGAAACTTATCTGAATGAGAATGATGAAAATCTGGCTCCAAATGGAGTATCCTCAAGGCGTCACGCCACTTCAAGTCACATCGTCTCAGCACTAGGATTATCGATATTTATTCAGCGTTTCTTGAGGTATTTTTCTCGTATTCTTTAGTGAAATGAAGTCAAAAATATTCTTGATGTTCCAAACGACAATTGATAGGTATAAGAAGATGAGACATGCGGATGATATGATACTGATTAGGAATAATCAGATTATATTATATTCTTGGCACAGTAAGGAATGAATGCTCGAAGTCATCTCCACAAATTTTAATCATAATGTTACTGAATCATGAGGGACGCGTTGTGGCTTATAAAAGACCATCTTCAGCATAATTGAGAAGTTTGGAGTTGAAAAAATGTTCATTATGCTCCTATTCCTCGAACTGTCAATGCTCATAGTCAAGAATCCCAAAGGTTCAGAAAAAACGGGTTCTCAATAAATGAAAGGCCCCGTGCCCTGAGAGCGCATACTATCGGTTTTTATTGAACATTTCATATACCAGAATGGTATATGAAGGGTATTGTCAAAATGTTTGTTTTTGACAACACCATAAACTAACGGATTTTTTGAAAAGCAAACTAGTTTAGATTCGAACACGTGCTGGCTGTTTGCCCCATCAATTTTATCGATAATTTTCTTTAAGTAGCGCTTTCATAATGGCACGGGGAACCCCTTTTCGAAGAACCCGTTAGTTTATGGTATTGTCAAAATGAAAACTTATTTTCTTGACAATACCCTTCATATACCATTCTGGTATATGAAATCTTCAATGCGCTCTCAGGG